TTGTGGAGCTTATTTTATCTAACACATCCTCATGCAGACAGAAGCACAAAGCCAGGTGGGCACAAGGGAAGGAGAGGAAGTGAAGTGGTGAGAGGTGTGAGGAGCCCAATTTGGGTTGGGGGGGACAGGCTGCACTGAGAGAGGTGACCTGCTCCCTCCCGCTGTCAGGTCCTGACTCAGAGTGACCACTCTGGTCCCTCAAAGCAAGGACCCCCATCCTTGATCCCATCCCCTGCTTAGCACTGCTTTACATATCGTGAGCTTTCTCTTTCTATATCTCCTCTGCTATCTCCTTCAGTGAGTGTGAGCTCCGTGGGGGCAGGCCCCTTGTTCTGAACAGTGCCTGGTGCCTGATTGGTGAAGGGATGACTTGAGGAGTCCGCCAGGAGGTGAGGGCAGTGGACAGGGGAACCGCAGATGTGGAGGCTCCGAGGTAGGAAAGAGCCTGGTGTTCAGGGTCAGGCATCAGGTGCATGTGACGAGCACAGGCGTGGACGAGGGGTGACGCAGGGGGTGGGAGCGGGGTGGACTGTGCGGTATCACAGGACCCAGAGGCCTCTGAAGTCGAGGAGGAGGAGGAGAAACACAGCGAAGGTTTTAGATGGGAATGACAGGAGCAGATGTTCACATTAAGCCATGATCTTGGCCGCCTTGAGAGAAGCAAGGCAGGGACTGGGGGGGAGCGGGTGCCAGGTCACGGGCTCCTGCAGGGGGTCTAGGCTCTGGGTGCGGGTGGCTTAGGTTAGTAGGGTAGGCATAGTGGACTGAGAATTCCCCAAACAGCAGGGGGTTGTCTAGAAGCCCGTGAAGCAGTCCACTCTCATTTTTTCCTAAGAAACGCTGCCAGGGGAGATTCCAAGAGAGATCAACCTTCCCTAAATGTATTTTCTTTGTTGTCTCCGGACCATGGGGGCCCAAGAAGTCAAAACCAAAGGGCCCAGAGGTAGTGGCGCACAACAGAATTCCATTGTCACCTCGCAGGGCTGAAGACCCCCCTCTCTGACCCCAGTCCTTACCCTTTCTTTACTCCCTGCTGCCTCCTATTGATGTGGAGACAGAGGGAGGAGAGAAGATTGGATGTGGCTCCTTCCCCACAGGATCCCAGGCCCGGGATCAGCTCTGGAATCCAGCTCCTACTCACTGGCTTCTCTTTGTCGTTGTGGGCCCCGGTGTTGTCCTTCCTTCTCCAGCTAAGCCAACGCTCTGAACAGCTTTGGGTGCTGAGGAGGGAAGACGGCCGGCCACCAGTCGGCGTGCCATCTGGTCGCCCTGGGAAGAGCTTTGGGCCACAGGAGGGGAGGAAGGACATGCAGCGTGGCTCACAGCCTACCCCGGGGCCACTGCTGTTCTTCCTGCTGGAAGTCCAGCCCCATGTTTACAGGTGTGGAGGATCAGACGGAGGATCAACGGAGATCAGGCATTTGGGGCTCCGCCGTTTCTCTCTTGGGGCGCTTCCCACCTTGGGCCAGGCTGCTGAGGAGGCTTCCCAAAGTCACAACTAGTTTTCTGGCAGAGTGCAGAGGCTGGGACCAGACCTCTCAACTCCAGTCCACAGCCTTCCATTTTCACCGGGGTTCTGGTGTCTCATTGGCTGGGACGCAATTTTCCGCCCTAGATTCAGAGACGGGGCTAGGGTGAAGGCTGGGTTTCTTCTGCACTTTCTCTAAAGTTTCACAGGGAATTCAGATCACAGCCAGCTTTAGGATGGCAGTGCAGTGAGGGGAACTGAGGTGGATTCTATGAAGTGATGATTTTTGAGCCACACCAGAAAGAGGATGTCAGAGGTGGTCGCTGCTCCAGTAGGTGCCTGGGGCGGAGCTATGGGGCAGGTCTGGGTGGGACCAGGGGCCTGACTTCCAGGCAGTTTGGAACCTAAACCTTTCCTCCTTGCTGAGCCTTGAGGGTCCAGTGGGCCCTTGGGTCAGGGCTGCTCCTGGGGGCAGACCGGTGCTGCCTAGCCCCAGGGTGAGTACCATGTGACAGCTCTCGGTCACCTGTCAGTGTTCCCTTCTTGGCTGGTTTCATTTGTTACTGTCTCGCCAAGCTTTCCTGAGGGGCAAGACCTGTGTTTCGCTTTGGTTGCTGCAAAGCCCACAGGGGCTCAGTCAGCAGTTTGTGAGGGAGCGAGCTATGGAGGGGCTTATGGGACTGGAACAGCTGGTATTTGTCTGGCCCCTTCAAGCCAGGGGCTCACAGCCTCCTGGGGCATGCACGCCTCCATCCCTTCGCCCTTCCCAGTGGAGGCCAAGCCGCTGTGAGTCTGTTTATACAATTGGTCAGTCAGGGCCCCAAGAAAGGGAGATCCTCACTAGGTTACCCCAGGAGCCAGGGGCAGACCTGAGCCTGTGCCCTAGTGGTCATCTGTTAGACTCGGGCCCTGATCTGCAGAGGGAAAACCAGTGTGATTGCCAAGAAATCATTTTTCTTTGGCCCCTGCAGACAGACCCACCCTCCTCATTTCGTCTTAATCTAAATGTAAATTAATTTCCCATTCCCTGAGTACATGAAGGCAGATGTCTGGACACAGAGTTAGGAGCCCCGATTTCCATCCAGGCTCTGCTTTTAGCTGTGGTCCTGGGCAAGTCCCGTCTTCTCTGGTGCTCAGCCTATACCATTGTAAACAAAGAGCCCGTCTCAAGCCCTGTGACGTGACAGAACCACCTGGGTGCCTCCACCTCTCTCCCCCGAGGTCTGGTGCAGTAGGTCTCCAGAAGGGTCCTGTCTTGTATACAGGCCGGAGGTGAGGTCAGCTCGGCCACGTGGTCTTCCGGCCCCTTTACCCAACCCAGCAAACTTGTTCTTATTGATGAGGTGTCAGGCCCCTGTGGAGAAGCAGGCCCCATCCTTTCCCTCAGCTGCGGCCAGTTCTCTGGCCCCACCACGTGCCTCCAGGCAGGTCTTCAGCAGAAGAGAAGACCCAGGGCTTTAGGGACAACAGGAGAAAGTTGAGATGAAGAATGCCGCTGTTGGGTATTCCATTTCAAAGCATCAGCTGAGTGGGCAAAAAAAAATTTCTTTCACAGCTGAATCCGATCCTTAACTCCTCTTTTGTAAGCTATGGGGAGACCTACCTGAGGGCAACTCCAGTCTCAGAGATTGAGGAACAGACTTTGTAAACGGTTTAATAATTTAGTCAGAACTCCGTTTGGGTGGTGACTGGTGGATATTTTCCTCTCTCCATCCCAGGCTCCCCTGAATGAGAATGAGCCCGGGCAGATTTCAACGTCTAGGTTGGTGTCACCTCGAGGCACCCAGCCAGCCCGCGTCCGAGCGGCCACCTCCCCATCATTGGTGTGTCCTCAGGGGAGGCAGGCTCATTTCAGTATTGTTGTTCAGTCGCTAAGTCGTGTTTGACTGTTTGTGACCCCATGGAGTGCAGCACACCAGGCCTCCCTGTCCCTTGCCATTCTGGAGTTTGCCCAAGTTCAAGTCTGTTGAATCAGTGATGCCACCCAACCATCTCATCCTCTACCACCCTCTTCTCCTTTTGCCTCAGTCTTTCCCAACATCAGGGTCTTTTCCAGTGAGTTAGCTGTTCGTGTCAGGTGGCCTAAGTATTAGAGCTTCAACTTAAGCAGCTTCAGTCCTTCCAATGAGTATTTAGGGTTGATTTCCTTTAGGATTGACTGCTCTGATCTCCTTGCAGTCCAAGGGTCTTTCAAGAGTCTTCTCCAGCACCACAATTTGAAAGCATCAATTCTTTGGCACTCAGCCTTCTTTATGGTCCAACTCTCACATCTGTACATGACTACTGGAATATAAGCTCAAGCCAAGTGTAATCAGGACAGTAAATCTGCTGTTTAACAAAAAAAAAAAAAAGTCCTCTGACAGATTTCAAGGTCCTGGAAACCCTTCCTTTGACACTTTTGAAGGAAGGATGAGAGCGACCTGGCCTTGGATATAATTTCTCCCAGCTTGGGAACAAAGTCCAGAACATGGTAACCATGTTTACTGAAAATGCAACATAGCTTAAAATCCACTGCGAGAGTCTGCAGTTGCAGGAATGGAGACCTAATTTCATGAAAGTCTTTTCCTTTCCATGCCTTGCCACATGAGCATAACCCCCAGCGTCCACCCTGCACCAGCACCCTCACCTCTTTTCCTGGGCATTTACCATGTGAGTGGTAGTGCGCTAAGGGCTATAGATGCATTTTCTCAATCTGCAGAGTTTCTGCACAACGGCCTTAGGAGGCAGGTTCTGTCATCCCCATTTTATCCCATTTTATGGGTGAGAAAACTGAGGTTCTCAGAGGCAAGTGACTTGCCCTGGATTGCATGGCATGTAAGTGGAAGAGCTGAATTTGAAGGGGCCCATGTTTCTAGCCTCTGGGTGTATTGCAACTTCGTCTGAGAGCCACAAGTCACGATGCCAGGTTTAAGGCTGTCTACCCATCAAGCCTGTCATCCTTTCCTCATTATTCTTGGCACGCTCCATCCTTCTCCAAACCTTGGGCTGAGTGGCCACCCAGCCTGCCTGCCGCTGGGCTCCCCACCTGGGTCACTTCTTCGATGAGGAGGAGGGATTATTCCTCTTAGTCCCGACCAGCTGCCCAGGCTGTCCCAGTGCTAGCGCTGGGGTACATGGGCAGGCCGTTTCCTCCCGTGAGCCTCCGGTCCAGACGAGGAAGTGGGGCTGTCGGCGTGCTGGGGGCATCTGAAGAGTGCCTTGGGTTCACCCCAGAGGGACAGCTGTCCCTTTCCTGTGGGAAGTTTGCCCTCAGTGGGGTATCACCGCCTGCAGATAGCTCTCTTTGCCTAACAGCACTTGACCTTGCTCTGCCTGCTCAGCATTTTGATGGCTAAATTTACATAGTGTTAGTTTGCCTTCTCTGTGAATGTTTTTAAAAGAATACTGGAGGCCTCAGTTAGAGAGTTTTCTGTCTCTGGTGGATCTGGAGTCCCTGAGGCTCAGGCTGCGGCACTCCCTGGCTTTGCCTGCCTCTGCCTCACCTTCCCCAGCCTCTTGGCCCCACACTGACCAGGCCTGCTCTGTCCCACAGGAAGTCCTTCCAGCGCTCCTGTGGAGGACCCTCACCACTGCGGAGCTTGGCCCCTAGTGACTCCGGGCTCCTGGTTCTCGGTCTCCCCGACCGCCCTCCTTCCTGGGAAGATGTTCCTGGTGGGCCTGACAGGGGGCATCGCTTCGGGCAAGAGCTCCGTGATCCAGGTGTTCCAGCAGCTGGGCTGCGCGGTGATCGATGTGGACGTCATTGCCCGGCACGGTGAGTTGTGGGCACAGCTGTACCCTGCAGCTCCTCTCTGCTTCCTTCCTTCCATCGGGCCTCACCTTTTTACAGGCCTTTCCTATCAGCCTGGTCTCCTGCTCCCACCCCCTGTGGCCCCCTCTCTTCTGCTCACTCGTCCCTCCCCCTCCCCTCACCCCATGACCAACACAAGGGATTCTGGGTGCTCTGGTCCCCTCCCTAACTGCTTTCCATCCTCTGATTTTTAAAACATTATTTGCTTATTTCTGGCTACACTCGGTCTTCATTGCTGCACAGGCTTTTCTCTAGTTGCAGCGAGAGAAGGTTGCTCTCTGGCTGCGGTGCACAGGCTTCTTATTGCGGCACTCCTCTTGTTGTGAAGCACGGGCTCTAGACACACGGGCTCAGTAGTTTTGGCATGTGGGCTTAGTGGCCCCCTCAGCATACAGGATCTTCCCGAACCAGGGATTGAACCCAGGTCTCCTGCATTGGCAGGTGGATTCTTAACCACTGGACCATCAAGGAAGTCTCCCTGATGTTGTTTTTGCTCCAGCTAAAAGAAGCACCCCTGGGTTGCCCCATCATTTTGCTTGTAGCCCCTGGGAGCCCCCTTGTTGACCTGGAGGCTCCAGAGAATGACCCAGGTTCCTCTTCCTGCCCCAGTTGTCCAGCCGGGATACCCCGCCCACCGGCGCATTGTGGAGGCCTTCGGCACCGAGGTCCTGCTGGAGAACGGTGACATTGATCGCAAGGTCCTGGGCGACTTGATCTTTAACCAGCCCGACCGGCGGCACCTGCTCAACAGCATCACCCACCCTGAGATCTGCAAGGAAATGATGAAAGAGACCTTCAAGTACTTCCTCCGGGGTAAGTCCTGGACCTGGGATCAGGCAGGGCAGAGCCGGTTCCTCCAGGCACGAACCCTTCTGTGCAGAGAGATTGTCCATGGAGGGAGGAACTAGTTTTCATGCAGGCTGTCGAATTCACTCTGCTCATTGGCATCCCCTGTGCAGCCGGGTACTAGCCTCAGAAAGATGAAGTGATGTCCCTCAACTCTTAAGGGAGTGGACAGTTTAACGAGAAGAGGCGCTTGAGGCTTTTGAGCACTGAACTCCAGGAAGCTGATTTTTCTCATAGGGGTGGGAGTAATAATGATGTTTTTGTGGTTTAGTCACTAAGTCTGTATAACTCTTGTGACCCCATGGACTGTATAGCCCGTTAGGCTCCTCTGTCCATGGAATTCTGCAGGCAAGAATACTGGAGTGGGTTGCCATTCCCTTCTCCAGGGGATCTTCCCAACAGAGGGATCAAACCAGCATCTCCTACACTGCACGCAGATTCTTTACTGTTGAGCCACCTGAGAAGCTTCAGGGAATAATAAGAGCTGACGAATAATGGAGTCATAAGACCAGAGTTTAAGTCCCAGCCCTCATGGTTTCCAGCTGCATGACTGTCAGGGTGAGCCCACCCCTCTGCCTATTTCCTCCTCCGCAAAGTGGACATGTGCAGGGCCAGCCAAGTGATGGGGCAGGTCTGGAGGAGGGGAGCGTATTTGTAAAGCAGGGTCTGTGGCAGCCTTTTTCCCAAGCCGTAGACCGCAGTCCAGGCACCGTTCTCAGAGCGGCATGGGGTAGGGGTGGCCTGATCATTACTGTTCGGGATGGGGTCAGCCCCCAGGAGAAGGGGGAGAGCCCAGAGCGGTGGCTTAGGATCAGGTGACAGGCTGGCCCGGGGCCCTGCAGAGCTGCCTGCCAGCCTCTGGGATGTGGAGCCTCCAGCCCAGGCTCTGAGTTGAAGGCCTGCCTGCTTGTCTGCCATCAGTCACCAGTCATGAGGCTGAGACTTTGCTTCCTGGAGGCTATGAGGAGCCTTCGTGCTTTTTTCCAGACTTTTGCACTGTGATCATGGTCAAATTCTCTCATGCATCAGGTTCTCATGTACAGAGTGGGGACCTCCCCCGTCGGACCCCACCGCCCCAGCCAATACCACCCTGCCAAAGGGAAGGAATGAATTGACAGACAGCCTTGACATTGACACTCCCTTCCCTGCCCCCGAGCCCTGGCCAGGCAGGAGAGGATCTGGGTGTCCTCCCTGCCAGACCAGCCTTTGCTCCCCATCTCCTTGTCGCAGGCCTCCTTCCCCACCGCCTCCCTCACGGAAAGTCTCCGGACTCTTGCTGCCTTTGTCCTGCCTCTTGTGTTTATGCCAGGACCCCTCCTGTCCTCCCCCGCCCCATTTCCCAACAGGGAGTGGGGCCTTCTGCCTTTCATTCCTGCCCTTTTGAGATCTCTCCCAGGCCAGGCATGAGTATGTACGTCTGCAGGGCTTCAGGGAGGCACCAACTCTCCCCTCATGAAATTACGCATCGGATAATGTCACCTGCTCCAAAGTTCTCCTGCTGTGTCATCTACTCAGCCTCCCCTCTCCCCAGCCACCACCACTTAAATAAAAGCCAGAAAGCTCTTTTCAGCTCGATAAGGTGAAAAATGGAGACGACAGCTGTGGCTTCCTCAGTCCCAGTTTTCCCCTGATGAGTATAACAAATACAACTGTCAGAGTTGGTATAATCAAACGTCAGATAAGATCACCAGCTGTTGGGAGGTCTCCGCGTAGGCAGACGGACGTCTTAATAGAGTGAGGATGGTTTGCAGAGCTTATCAAGCAGGAACGATGTGACAGCTGAATAGCCCTTTGCCAGCGAACCAAAGAGCTGGCCGCGAGCTCCCGAGAGGGGCCGAGGAGAAAGGACAGTGACAGGAGAGAAGGGGACGGGAGCGGAGCAGAAAAGGGAGATAAAAGGCCCAGGGAGGATCTGGACTCGGCTCCTGCTCTGGGCTGGAGAGGAGCGGGGAGCCTGCGCTGCCAGCCTCCTTCCTCTAGGAACACTGGTAATGGAAGTAATAGCAACTATCATCTGTGGAGCCTCAAGCAAGGGTCTGGGTGAGGGGAGCTGAGTGGTTTACAAACTTGTTCTCGTCCTTACCGTCTTCCTGTGAGGCGGGTCATCTTTTCACCCGCCGACACAGGCAAGGCTTGGTAAGGGGGCCGAGGTGAAACAGCGGGGGCCACACACCAAGGCGCATCCCAGAGCCTGTTCCCTCAAAGCTTGGCTTCATCTGAAGGCGTCTCTTGGGTTTCCTGAGCCTCGAGCCCTGAGAAACAGGAAACCCAGAGGCTTGAGTCACCGTGTCCCCTGTACCACCTGGGGTGCAGCTTCCCCATGACCCCCCAAGATGGTACCACATATGGTTGGAAGCGTTTGCAGCGGGGCATCTTCCAAGCCAGGCAGGCATCTCTGGGCCAGAGCCAGCGCCCAGCCCTTTCTCACTGCTCCTGGACCCGTGCCAGCTTGTTGACACTTACACAGTGGTCACTGGTGTCGAGAACTAGGAGCCCAAAGTGTTTCTGGGTGAGTAGCTCAGGGACGTGTCTGCTCACAGTGGGTGAGGGCGCCGACCCCTTGACCGGCCTTGGCTTGTATTGGGTTGTCCAGAAAGTTCATTCAGGTTTTTTCATAGGATGTTGCAGGAAAACCCAAATGAACCTTTTGGCCAACACAACAGTAGGCGGGCTAGACAGCATCTTTTACCCCATGGGAGTTGGTTCTGTAGTATCAGTCATAACCACCCCACCACCTCCAAACCAGTACGTGTGCTCCCTGGCTGGAGCTCTACCTCTGATGCCACGAAGCAGCCTCTTTCCTTTGGAGCAGCTCCTGCTGCCCACGTATGAGTTTTTTGGGGAGAATCTATAGATAGCCTTACAGGACTCTTCAGCAGGGAGCCAGGCTTGGACCTGGCTCCTGGTGGGGAGAACCTTTTTTTTTTTTTTTTTTTTTTAATTTATGTTTGGCTGTGCTGGGTCTTCGTTGTTGCTTGCGCTGGGCTTTCTCTAGTTGAGGCACGTGGGGGCTACTCTCTAGTTGCGGTGTCCAGGCTTCCCATTGTGGTGGCTTCTCTTGTTGCAAAGCACAGCCTCTAGGGTGCGCGGGCTTCCGTGGTTGCAGCACATGGGCTCAGTAGCTGTAGCTCTCAAGCTCCAGAGCATGCGGTCAGTAGTCGTGGCATACTGGCTTAGTTGCCCCTTGGCATGTGGGATCTTCCGGGACTAGGAATCAAACCCATGTCCCCTGCATTGGCAGGCGGGTTCTTTACCACTGAGCCACCAGGGAAGCCCTTTTTCCTCTTTTTTTGAGGAAAGGTGGGTGAAATAGGGCAGAAAGGACCCAGCTACTCCCAGGAACTCTCTCCAGTCTCCTATAATTCAGCTGTGTCATCTCCCTGTTCAGAAATGGCAACTCTTTGGGTTTCAGATCAGGGGAACTCAACCCTTTGTGACTGCTCTGTCAGCTTTGCCTCACTCTGCTCCAGGCCCCCACTTCAGCCAGAGCCACTCCCATTCCTGGAACCCTCACCTCCGCCCACCTCATTTTCAAGTCTCGAAGGTCCAACCTGCTTTTCAAGGCCACTACAAACGCCATCCCTTCTATGAGATCTTCCTGGATCATCCACCCCAAAATGACTTTCTGCAACATTTTGTCCTGAGTGGCATTGGAACCAGCTAACATTCAGGTTATTGGAGAAGGAATTGGCAAGCCACTCCAGTATTCTTGTCTGGAGAATCCCAGGGACAGGGGAGCCTGGTGGCCTGCCATCTATGGGGTCGCACAGAATCAGACACGACTGAAGCGACTTAGCAGCAGCATTCAAGTTATGCCTTTCCTTAGAAGGTCTCCCCGCTCTGCCGGGGAGCTCCTGATGGTGGGGGACATTGTTTTTGGCTCATTCCCACGCTGAGCACATAGTCCTGTGTGTGCTTACAGAATTGAATTTGTGCATTTCCTGGCTTCTCCCCAGGATACCGCTACGTGATTCTGGACATCCCCCTGCTTTTTGAGACCAAGAAACTGCTCAAGTACATGAAGCACACGGTGGTGGTATACTGGTGAGTGTGTGGCACAGCCTGGCCTAACTGAGGCTGGAAAGGAGCACCCCTGGGTAAGGCGCATACCTGTGAAATGGCCCATTGCATTTTACCCTTTCCCCACATGGTGACCAGGAGAGCCAGGGGGTTTGGGTAGCAGAGTCCAGAGCCTGTAGAAACTGACCTCTGTAGAGCCAGGCCCAGACATGCCTGGGGGTGGATGTGGGAAGTGATGGCCCCCAGGTGTCTCTCTAGTGCTTGGGAAGGGCTCCCCCTGCTGGCTCTTGGAGGCATTTCAGCCCAGATGCTGGGCCCTGCCCTGGGGGACAGTGTTCTTCTTCAGTGGTTTCCTTTTCCCTCCTGTAACGCTTCTCAACTTTCCAAACAGCTCCCACATCAGTTTACCTCTCAACATAATGTAGTCAGGACAGGAGTTGATATTTCTGGGGTATAGGAAACTCAAGGCAGGAGTTACAGAATTTGTCTAGGGTCACCCACTGGCAATATGTATGAACTGAAAGTTGCAGAGAGGGAGCTGTCAGAACTCAGCTAAAGAAGGTGCTTTGTTCTCAGAATCCCTCGGGACATGGAGCAGACCAGTATCCAGGTTTGGCAAACAAGAGGATCAAACTGTCAGAGAAAATGAGTCATAGTCTTACTGGGGTGTGAGTGTAGATGAGGCTTCAGGGTGTCTCTGCCTTCCAGAAACTTCCGGGATGCCACCCACAGATACAGCAGACACAGAGGTGGGCCCTTGGCTCTGCAGGTATTTTGGGCACAGGGTGGCTCTCGAGACTAATGCAGGGGAGGCTTCTGGAACACCGGAGGCAGGGCCTGGAGTACTCAGCACCCCCAGCACCACCCTGCCCTCCCAGCTCCCAGCCCTGGGCTGTCACTTAAAGGCAGCCTGAATCTACTGAGCCTGGAGCAGGGACTCGGGCATCCTCTTCTCTCCCCCGCTGGCCTGTGTCTACCCATGTAAACCTGTAGCCTCTGGGTTCTTTGTTCCCTGTTTGGGAAAGACTGTCAACTGAAGCCAAGCAGACTCCATGAAGACAGAGTTCTCTTTGCCTTGGAGTTTTAATATAATTCCAAACTTTGTACCAAGGGATCGGGAAAAAAAAACCACCTCAGAGTATAATGTTTAAGTGAAAGTGTTAGTCGCTTAGTCGTGTCTGACTCTTTGTGACTCCATGGACTGCAGCCTGCCAGGCTCCTCTCTCCATTTTACAGGCAAGAATACTGGAGTGGGTTGCCATTCCCTCCTCCAGGGTATCTTCCTAACTCAGGGATTGAACCCAGGTCTCCTGCTTTGCAGGCAGATTCTTTGTCCTGAGTAAACAAATTAAGACCCGGTTGCATCTGCAGTCACCAGGTGACTCAGGCCTACGTTTCCCACCTTCCTCCTCCCGTGCTTTCCTCTTGCCAAGAACAGAGATAGCTGTGGCTCCTGGCAGATAGATGGGGCTTTGTGGATTTGCCAGCTTCCCGGGAGATCCTCCAGCCCACTCACTGGCCAGAGCCTTCCCAGGGTCCTGGGTACCATACATCCCCCACTGTTATCACATGTGGTTGTATGACTCTTGAGAGATACCCAGGAGATAAATGAAGGATTATTTGTCTTTCATAAAAGAAATCTACACTCAACAAAAATAAGTCCATCCCCACATGGACTCCTTTAACTGGCAAACTACCCCTTGGGCATTTGAGCTAATATGGGGGATTTACCAAAGTGTGATTATACCAAAAAGTGATTATTCACTTTTTTGAGGAGCTTGCCAATTGTGGGGTCAATGTTTGAGCAAAAGTTCCCTTACCCCAAACAACATCAGTCCTTAAACTAATCACATGGGACTCTCGCTGAGCTTCCAGGAAGGGCCGTTGGCGAGTTCCGCATTCACATCCTGGGAGGCCCACTGGTCTCAGCCTCACCCTCTGAAGGATGAGTGCTCACTGGTGGCCCCAAGCCATCTCCATTCTCTCAGCCAGACTTTACCAGCCACAGATCTGCAGAGTCCCTGACAAGGATTGCATATAGTCCTTGTTCTCAGCCAGGTGGGAACTGGCCCCATGACCTTGAGAGCATGCTATCCTCCTAACAAAGGAAGTCAGAAGTCCTACCAACTTTTCAAGGCCAGTACAAACGCCATCTTTATATAAGGTCTTCCCTGATTGGTCAGCCAGAAATGACTTTCTGCTGCATTTGGTCCTCAGTGGTTTTGGAACTGGCTAGTGTTCAGGTTATATCTGTCCTTTCTGTCTTCACATCCCAGGAGGACCTCAGGTCTAGGCCACAAGTAGACTAAAGGGACTAAACTGTAGTCATCAGATCTTCCCACCTTATAACTGGAAAAACTGGCCTAGTGGCAAAGCAGAGAGACCCCCAGATGGCAGAAAACAGCTGCAGCAGCCTTTTCCCGCCTTGTTCCCATCTAGGGTCTTAGGCAGTCAGAGACCTAGGGGGCTGCTAGAGATGCTCCTGCTCCAGAGGACAGCCGGACAGTGCCTGTGTAGCCAAAGCAGGACAGGGAGCTGAGGAAGGCCCAGGTGGTAACATCAGAGCAGGCAAGAGAGGCATTCTTTCTAGTTCCTCTGGAGCTGGGAGACTGGGTGCTGCTCGGCCTCCTGTGCAGTGCTCAGTCCTGTCCCAAGGGCCAAGGGGATCTGGTTCTCAAGTCCTTGCTCCTGTTGGAAGCACGTTGGGGCATCTCGCTTCCTCCGTGGCATCCAGCCCAGCGGCCACCGTCTCAGCACAGCCCTTGTACTCTGAATGTGCCGGGGTGGGTGTGGGGAGACCAGGAGAGGGCTCTTTGTGGAAGCCCAGGAAGCTGATTTTTATGCCGCAGGCCCTGGTCCCCAGGGGAACTGCAGGAAGCATTTAGCTTGCAGACCCAGGCCTTTCAGTAAAGGTCATCCATTCAGGGATGCAGGATGTCTCTGATTCCAGGTGACCAAATCCTCCCATCTTAAAAACCAAGGAATCTTGGGCCTGGTAGCCAAGCAGAGAGACCTCAGGTGGCAGAAAACAGCTGCTGCCCCCCTTTCCTCTCCCCATTTATACTAAGGGGCTTAGGTAGCCCACAGCGGTGCTAGGGTGCTCACGAAGTGGGGTAAGGTGGAGGGAGCCCGAGCTTCCAGGGCTGCCCACCCCTATAACGAGGGGCGAGGGAGGCCGGAGCCTGCAGCGCCTGAGCATCCCTCTGCCTGGTCCTTAGTGACCACGACACGCAGCTGGCCCGGCTGAGGCGGCGGAACAGTCTGAGCCACGAGGACGCGGAGGCCCGGATCAGGGCCCAGCTGCCCCTGAAAGACAAGGTGCACATGGCCTGCCACGTTCTAGACAACTCGGGCGAGTGGAGCGTCACCCGGCGCCAGGTGGTCCTGCTGCACGCGGAGCTGGAGCACTCCCTGGAGTACCTGCCACTGCGGCTCGGGGTCCTCACGGGGCTGGCCGGCATCGTCGGTCTGCTCTACCTGCTGACCCACTACCTCCTGCCTGCCCCCTAGCTGGACCCTCCAAGGCAGGAACTGCTGGGTCTCCGTCTTCTCAGAGGCTGGAACCAGGTCACAAATGCATCGGGTTTCCTCCCAACCCCTCAACACACGCACTCTGAATCTGGGCTGGAGCTCTGCCCTGGGCCTACCTTTCATCTGAGCATATACTGCATTCTGTCCGAGGCAGGGAAACAGCCCTCTGTCAGCAGATGATCCTTTCCACCTCCCCCAGAGCCCCTCCCTCTGGAACCCCCCACAGAACAGTGTCCATGAGAGGGTGTGGCAGTAACAGTGAGAGACTGTTGTTAATTTCTTGTGGGTGGGGGTGAGGAGCACTCTCAGGGGCCGTCACCAGTGTTTAAAGCTGGGAGGGTCCCTGGGCCTGAACCATCTCCAAGCATGTGCCCCATCATGGCCAAAGTGTCCTTTTAGTGGACATCGGGGAATCAGTTTGGACCAAAGGCTGCCACCTTCATGCAGGATTCCCCCATAGACTGAAGCCCTCAGCCAGGATACAGGAAGGATTCCCTTGTGGGTGATGCTGTATCCGGGCAGAGGCCAGGCCTCTTCTGAGATGACCCACCGTGGTGGGTCAAATGACCCGTGGCATTTGCCCAGCACTCCCTGCAGCCCGCTCCCTGCCCCCTACCACTCTACCTCCCTGAGCTCTTGGTGGTCCCCGTGCACCTGGATGTTTCTTGCCTCTGTGCCTTTGCCTTGTTGCTCCCCAATCTCAAATAACCCTTCTGCCCCCCCCCCCCACAACTGGTTACCTTCTAACTCAGGCACCACCTGAAGCTCCAGGTGGGGTTAGGTGCTCTGGGTTACCACCCTGCCACCACCATCATGTTTTACCTGAATCCACAGTATAATCAACCAAAAGCTGGTTGGTCTTTCCTCCTAGACTGTAAGCCCCTTGTAGGCAGAAACTGTTTCTTATTCATTTCTGTTCCTGGTGCAGAGCCTGAGTTGCCGCTGGTGCTGAATAAAGTGTGTTGATCTGAAATGCCCCATGCTGCCAGTGTACCCCCAGCATCACTGAGCAACTGAGGTTCCCAGACTCCGCTCAGACCATTTGGGCTTAAGCGTGGCCTCCTCCCACACCAAGACCTGGGCCCCTCACTCCCCCAGCCCCAGAAGGTACAGTTGCCCTCTTGACTTCATCCAGGAGGACTCAGCCAGGTCCAGACGTACCTGTGAGAGGAGTGGAGGTGCTGGGGCAGCCTCCCATCCACGTACTCCATCTTCCTTCCCCAGCCCAATTAGACCAGTGTGGACATCAGCTTCCTCTTGCCCGAGCCAGCAGACCTGCTGATGTGTTGCTCCTGCGGCCAGCAGCCTATTAAAGCCAGAAATGAGTGTGACAAATGCGACTGCTGTGGTGGCCACATTCAGTGCCCCCTTTCCCCGAGCTGCTCACACTTTAGAGACCAGCTCATTAACTCACTGCAAACCCAGAAGGGGCTGAGGCTCGTCAAGGAAGCTGCAGAGTGGGTCCAGGGCTGGATGAGAACGGCAGAGGGTGGCTGCTTCTGCGCTTTGAGACCCGGCAAGAGGAGGGAAAGAAGGGAAGGTATGGACCCCTCCCAGCACCATTACCCCAGTCATGGAGAAGATGGCTCCTCGTGAAGACCTGTGACATGCTGACACCACTGCATTGTAACACCCGGAGGTAACATAGTGATTATTCTGATTCTCGGCCCAGTGGGATGAGCTGGTTTGGGTCAGAGCCAAGGTTCAGAACTCTGCCTGCTGTGTCTCAGGGCCTGCCGGGAGGGAGCAGACCCTGGGATCCCTGTGGCCCATTATGCTCTGTCTCCTATCCGTGTGACCTCCTGTCTTCATGATGTTTATGTCAAGGAATCTAATATATGGAGGACCACAGAAACCCTTTGCAAACCGTAAAGCTCGAGTTATTTTCTTTCCTGCCCCAGTATACCGAATTGGATGCAAGAATGTCAGAGGATGGCCAGTCGGGAAGGTGTGGAGAAAACGCCATCCCGGCCTCCTCTTCCCAGGCTTGGTAGCCCAAGGCGGCCTTACAGGAGTCCTGCTTCCTCTGGGGCATCACTGCGTGTCTAGGTCGCTCCCGAGCCCCTTGCATAAAGCAAGAGCATGTCCCCCGCCCTCACAAGCCCTGGTCCCGCGACCCGGCGGCACCCTCCGTTCCGGCCGGCAGGTGGCAGCACCCGCCCGGATTGGGGTCGGGCTTTGGCGGCCAGCGCTAGCCAAGCGATCACTAACTTTCTCCCGGTGGCGTTCCCTTCTCTCCTCCTGGGCCGCGGCCGGCGTCAGATTCCCCGGCAGCAGCGGAGGCGCGGGCGCGCGGTCGGGCCCGGGGCGCTAATTAACAAGCCGTGCGGCTCGCAGCGTCCTCTGCTGGAGCTGCGGGACCCGGGCGCCGCGGGGCGGAGGGACGTGTCCCCATTCCACCCCCGTGCCAGGGTGACCGGCCTCCCACCCTCCAGTCGTGCGCTCGGGCCCTGCTGCTCTCCGTTAACCCACTTGCGGCCTCACCACCCCGGCGCGGAGCAATAAAGACGCCGGCGAGGGCTGCAGGCATATCGGTCTCAAGGCGCGGGATGAAGGGGACAGGCAGGCCCCTAAAACCATTCCCAGGCCCAAGCCGGCCCTAGGGTGCTTCGCAGAGCCTTACTGTCCAAAGCACCTCCCGCAGCTCTCTCCTGAAATCTCCCAACTCTGAGAAAGAGTACAGGAGGCAGAGCTAGAATTTGAGGCTCAGAGGTTGAGCCCCGGAGGCCCACGTAACCAACAGGCATAATCCCACGCTCTGGACCCCTAGTTCAATGCCCTTCCCACTACTTGCAGTGTCTCGGTTAATGACGCCTCGGGTCTTTAGATAGGAGTTGTCAACTCTTCTTCAGATGTTCAGTCTCTCTGTCCTTGGAGAGGGGCAGGGGAAGGTTTAGGATCCTCCATTAAGGAGCCACCAGGGCTAGAAATTGGATGGGAGGGGGACAGCCAGGGCGGCTGTGACAAAGGCACTCCAGATGAAGAGGAACCTGTCCTAGAGGCTTCTGGGTGTCCTAGAGGGAGCTGGGTGGCAGTGATGACCCGAGGCCACATGGGGTGGACAGGAGAGGCCCCAGAGATGGCGGATGAGAACGGAGGAGAACGCAGGAGGTGCTGAAGCACTGTGGGCTGGCCCTCCGACTCCTTCCTGGAAAGGGGAGACGGCTGGTAGCTCCTCCATCCCACGGGCAGAACTGAGGCTGCACCCAGCTGGGGCCCAAAGAGCCTCCTCCCTTTGCTCCCCACCATCCCCTCCCCATCACTCGGATTCCAATACAATTTCCAACTAACCAGCATGTCGATAGAACAAGTCGGGCAGCCGGATTGCTGGCCAATTACAGGAAATCATTCTGCTCCACAGCTCAGCGCCCAGGGAGAGGGAGGAAGGGAGGGGATGTGAGGGAGCAGGCACCCAGCTTGCAGGCTGGGAAGGGGCTCTGGATTCAGGTGGGGCATGCAGTCCCCAGGGAGGGACTGGGGTAGCAGAGCTGGGGTGGATAGGGAAGCTTCTGGGGCTGGGGGTTGTGGGCCAGCATGGGTTCTTCCTCATCAGAGCTCTCATGCCCCAAGCCACAAAGATGAGCGCCAGGAGGAAAATTGTCTGATTGGAGTAGAAGGGGGCAGAAGGGCAGATAGTGAGATCAGTCTCCTTCAGAGTCCGGTGTTTGGGAATGAGGTTGGTACCCAGGCCTCCCTGGCCCAGAACTCTGAAGGATCATCCCAATACCCGGAAGTGGGGCTCACAAGGGCAGGACCTGTGCTTCACATCCAGCCATGGACCAAAGGGTCCATGGGGACCAAGGGGTCCAGATCCCCCCAAGGGGATCCTGGGGGGACAAGGAGAAGGAGTTTAAAGAAGAGGCAGGGAGGAAAGGTGCTGCAGGTTGCAGCTGAGTGGTCCAGCAACAGTCTCACTCCTGCATCCCTAACCACATCTTTCCCAGAACTGCCTTAACTACCCCCTGGCCTTGCCACCCAGCAGACCCTGAGGTCCCCTGATTCCCAGCACCAATGATTAGCTCCCTTGAGTGGTGCTGGGGCTCTATGCCAAAGTAGTGAAAAATCCTTGACTTACAGGAATTTCTCCAGGGACTAACTCCACCCAGCGACTGACTACTGTTGCTCTGTTTGTCTTGAACCCCAAAATGAGTTAGGGGTGACCCAGTGATCCCTTCCCCTGCTCCAGGCTGTAGCCACCTCCCAGAAGCCCCCTTCCCCTCAGCATCTTTCTGCTCCTTCTCCGCATTCTAAACTCTCTCCTTCAAACCTCCCATCAAAGGTGGGGCCTGGGTTAGATTCATCGCCTCCCGCTCCACCCCCCCACCCCGCACCCCAACTTGGTCATCCCAGGTACACAGCCAGGGTACACAGCCAGGCAGACACCCCGGAGAGAAGATAGATCTCTGCGCCCCGTGCACCAGGCACGCAGCTGTGCTCAGGAAAAACGCTGAATGAATGCAGTTGACTGACAAGGCCGGCATCAAAGTGGTGGGTGCATTGAGAGGGAGGGTCAGGGGCCTGGGGCCACTCCTACCCCAGGATCCCTGCCCGAGTCCACAGGCTTGGACGTCCGGAATGGGGGTGTCAGGACTGGCCCGATTGTACAAGGCAGGCGCCCTCGGCTCTGCGAGATTGAGATCAAGCCGCGGCTCGGACCTGGAAGAGTCGCCCTTCGCGGGCCCTCCCTCGGGCGCTACCTTTCGCGGGCCCACGGCCCAGTACTCGGCGATCCGGAAGAGGGCGGCCCTCCCGCCCTCCCTCCCGCCCTCGTCCTCGATGCCCCCGGCAGGGCGCGCAGCGCTCCGCCGCCCACAGGCTCCGCGCCATCGACCGGGCCTCGGGGACCCGGGCGCACCGCCCCTCCACCCCTCGCTTTTCGCTTTTAATTGAAGTTTGTTTGAGCAGAGTGCAGAGCGGGCAGAGGCAGAAACCAAATATTTAGTTGCTGCAAATTGGCACCTCCAGATCAATTACCCGGCCCGTGTCAGGGCCTGTGCCGCCCCCAGCGCCCCGCGGAATCTCAATGCCGGGCTGCCCCCCCTGCCCCCCGCGCCGCCCGCCTCCATCCCGCTACACGTTTCTCATCAGCTCCAGCCATACATCACCCGTGGCCGCGAGGGGAACAGATTTTCAATGGGGAAAGTTCCCCGGGAGGGTCCTCGTTGCTGATTCCCGCCGCGCCCTGTGCTGTCTGCCCTCCACCCCTCCCGCCCTCAGCCGGCCTGTCAGATTAGATGGGAACAGCCGGGGAGGGAAGAGTGAGATAAAGAGGGAGGTCCGAGGCAAGGACTTTGGGTTACGTGGATTGACCCAACCTTAGTAAGTCCTCGTATCTTCTGAGTGACTCAGGAGGATGCCTTATGCTCCTTGAACCTCAGTTTCACCACCTGTAATATGGGGCTCAACCTTCACCTCGTGGAGTTGTTGTGAGGGGGCCAACACTGCAGAGGGACCTTGCCCGGCTCGGGGCTGGCACTTCGTGGCTCTACTTCTTAGCTCTGTTAGGGGGTGAACATTCTTCTAGAATGAAATGAGGGACCTTGGGTTTGTAAGCACTTCAACCGAACTACTGGTGAATACCCAAGGGAGAGCGGGGGGCGGTCAGCCCCCTGGAGTCCCTGGCAGAAGCTGGGCAGGCCAGGACATGTGGAGGCAGGTTCCATCAGGGAAGGCTTTAACCAACAGCCCGGGTGCATCAGGGCACAATCAGAAGAGAAAGTGCTTCTCCAGTACCAAGGACTGAGAGTTAACTGGGCCTGAAGGTGAGCCGTGACCTCAGAGGTGGGCCAGGAAGTGAAACAGGAGGGAAGGGCGCAGGGCACAACTTTTGAAAAACTGACATAGCCCAAGGACACAGCATAAACTGATTAGAATCAAATGGGTCCAAGATGGCAGACAAACCAACTTCAACTAGCTCTTGATCCTCAATCAGCAAGCTAAATGACACACCCAGAGGCACCATGACAGTTCCAGGGCACCA